AGCGTGGATGTTGATTGATTACCTTAGCTGGAAAAGAAAAGAAAAGGCAGAAGCAGATCTGTGAAAATATTATTTTATTTGTAGAGCTTTGCAATGAGAAAGCCTTTCAGTCATCATGCTCCAGTTTCATATCATGTGTTTGTCCAAACCACACAAGAGCCTTATGGTTCTTCAAGGAAGTCGCGCTATAGTTGCAAGCCCGACAGCAAGCCAAAGACGATAAGCCCCGAGACAAATTTCTCTGTTCTCTGCTAGACAATGAAACTTTTGAACTTTAACTTTTAGGCTGCGGATGTTGATGAAGTCCTCAGAGAGGAGGAAATGTCTTTCTGATGAAGGGCTGGAGGGCAGGGCTCCTGACCATCGCGGACCTGGCCTGGAAGACGCTTTTCATCGCAGCACTAATGGCTCTGGCTAATCAGGCCTGATTGGGGCTGCTAAATAAATACTCTCTCCATTTATAATATCATGCGTAACTTAAGACAAAATCAATACTCGAGACTGAACACTAATAGCTTGAGGCAAAACAAACGTCCCAGCTCTGGCTGCAATACATTTTTCAGAATGAATCCATCAGTGACATTGGCATGGATTTCTCATACTTCCAAATAAAGCCACGTATCTGTGGAGTTTTCATATTTCCGAAGGCTCCGAATTGGTTTGAAAGACATTCACGCATGCAAGCAGTTCAGAAACAAGCCTCGTTCTAAACTTTTAATGCCCATATTAGGTACATTTGTTCTTTTTGTCGAGCATATATTTGAATAATATATTTTTTTTTTGCCTTTACATCAAATTTTCAGAAGCATTAGAAAAGAAAAAGAAACTACAGCAACACCCACAGTAATGAACTGAAAATGAAACTGCAGAGTGGAACAGTCATATTCAGCAAACAATTAGCATCAATCATCAATCATAGATGAATCAAGGTGTCTCCCCAGGAGCCAGAGCCCGATAATAAACACTGGAGTCAGACTAGACTTATGTGGGCTCGGGAATAAATAAAGTGAACGACCTCGACATCAGCAGCTAGTAAAATGTTTGGCCGTGCGGTAGAGTAGGTATGAAAGGGAGCTTTGTGTTATGAGGAATAAATACAGACAGACACAATCACATTTGAGTGAAAAGAGTTATGTCAGAAGTCTCACAGCAGCAACGTTGGAACCTGGCTTTGAAATGCGAATCATGTTAAATGTGTTTGATTTATCTTCTGCTCCACTTCTGCTTTGCCGTGTCTCTGCCGAGGTGATTGAAATACCATACACACTGTGCATCGAGTAGCTAAAGTCCATCCACATCTGGAGCTGAAACAAAGACATCGGACTTGTTTATTATGACAGACGAGGATCTCACAAAGGACAGTCGCGTGTTACGTTCATGGGGGATGTTTTCTTTATGATGTGTGTTGCCGGTTTATTTTTCCTTGCGCTCAGGTCAGGCTACTTGGCCAGTCTCCTCGCCACGTCTTTGTAGGCGGTCTCGATCTCAGTGTCAGCAGCACAGGTGTTGGTGAACTCGTCACGCGTGGAGGCGTTGTTCAGGTAGCGCCACACCCCCGACATTTCCGCTGGGATGTCGTAGTTGCGGTATTTCTTAGCAACAACCTAGGAGAGAATGCAAGGCGATAACTAAACTACCCCGTTCATTCAGACTCGAGCTGATATCTTCAGCACCTTCCAGGAGGTATGTTTTTTGGATGAGGTGTTCCAGTTTGCCATTTTGAAACAAAACTAATAACATTTATGCTTTTTTTTTAGCTCGTGAATGTAAGAATTAATGCCTTTCAGCAATACTCTGTATATCGTCTGTGCTCTGCATCCAAAAGGTAAGTCAGAACCACTTCCACTGCAAAACCAATGAAGCATTAAGTAAGTCAGCTCTGCAGGAGCAGGACATGCCGGTTAGATTCATTAGATACTTTCCTCCAGTGGTGAATGCTTATCTGCCTGATATATTAACCCACCGTAGAAAGGACCTGCTCTTGTTAAAAATTGTAGTTTTAGTTTAAAACAAAAAACTTTTAAAGGGAATTTGTGTTCTTACATTTTTTTGTGTCCTCCTGGACTAAAAATGGGATTTAGCAGTATAACCTTTAGCTACTAATAATTTGACATATGGATACTAAATGCCCCAAATAACAAATTCAAGATAGTTTTTTTCCCCTTAATTAAGAAAAGAGAAAACTATTTTTTTAAATCTAAAAATCTAATTTTTAAAAATTGTGGCTGTGGAAGACAAAGTCAAGAGCAAACCTAACTTAAACACACCTTGGGGGCAGAGTTGCTTGACATTTTCAGTCTTTTCCTTTTTTCCTTTTTACTTTCTTTTCAGATCCTGCTGGTTTCCAGAATAGATTTACTTGTTTTAGTTTAGTTTTTATTAGTTCCAGTGTTAGTTTTAGTCTTTTTTTTAAATCATTCATGTATTCCTGTGGCACAAAATTGAATACAAATGCAACATTTGTGGAGGGAGTTGGCTCGCAGTCATGTAGACACCCTCAGGCAGGCTGTTGACAGATTTGACCATATTGTTGACGATTTTTGACTGCATAGTTTTATTTGACTTCAATTCTTTCTTTCTTTTTAAATACACATTGTTTCAGTTAATTTTCATTTATTTATAGTCTCTAGTTTCTGTTATAACTTAAACTATAATGTACGTTGACATTTCGTTTTAGTTAACTGTAATACTGCTTGGGACCTCCCCGGGTGTTACCAGACACCAATTTAAGGCAAACACATCATCATCATCATCATCATCAAGCACATATTAGGTTTATTACCACAGCCTTTATTACTCAAATGCAGCAAAACACTGAATTCATTATCAAAATGGAGTTCAAAATCCATGTACTAAATCTGGTTTTGATATATCAAAGTGTTTATTTATCACCGGCTTTAATAGAGGAACAGCTTGATATGACAACTTCTGTGAACCTTACTGTAGACTGGAAAACTTGTTTAGCCCGTGAAAATGTATGAAACTTTTTAACAAAGTCCAATATTGCAGAAACCGACCTCATAAGGTGGTTTGAACTTGGATAAACTGGTGTGTGCTTTAAAGGTTACTTGGAAAAACACACGTCTAACTTTAACAGATAATAGGATCTGGATTGCTCAAAGTACCGATATGAAAATCTCATCTGAGAATAATAAGGGGCCGGTAGAGAATGATTGTTGAAGGGCAACGCAGCTGTAGAATCACCACCACTAATTACTGCCCCTCAATAATTTTCCTCTCATGCCATATTTCTTTACCTTCACTATGTAGAGTTTGGGCAGGAGGTTGCAGTCTGCCAGAGTGAACTCGTTCCCATCCAGGAAGCATCGGTTGGAGCCCTTCTCCTCCTCCATGCTGTTTGCATCGATCTCATCTGGCAATGGGTTGTTAAGGTAGTCATCCAGCTTCTTCAGGGCTTTGGTTAAACCTTTCTCTAGAGCTAAAACGCACAGATACAACACCTTTAAAAGGTGACGGAACACGTGTGGCGCTAACCTCACTAGGTGGCAGCAAAGCAAACGGCATGAGCTCATGCCTAAAAAGTGGACTCTGCTACCACCTAGTGGAGGATTTGATGAATCACTCCCGCATGATTTCATCTCGTTCCGTTGCACATGTACATGTGTGAATGTAAATGGCATGAAATAAGCAGCCCACCAGCGTTGGCTTCTGGTTTGGTGTTCTTGATGTAGGCTGAGAACTTGGCAAAGATGTCGTTTCCAGCTGTATTGGACTCTCTGTGCTTGGCAGCCAGTCTGGGATACCTGAGTGGATGGGGGGACAGGGGCAGGAGAGGCAGTCAGAGACCCAGTCAGACCAAACCATCTGGATAGCATTAACACCTGGGCTGAAACTCAGCTCACACTCCAAACATGTTACACACTCTCACCAAGCTGGCTACTCGCCCCTTGAGCTTCTCACACTGAGGTCGGTTTATAATGTAAAAAACTTTACAGGCAATAAAATAAAGATTTAGTTAATCTGACATTTTTCTCTGCAAACGCTCACACGCTGACTCTGGTCATTTTTACTGGAATAACAACAACAAGAACCCTCTTAGGCTCTTTTACTAAAATTACCCCAATCAGATTTTGTCAATAAAGCTTTGGATGTAGAGTGTTAAAGATTTTGCATTTAGGAATTAAAAGTGCAAAAACACATACCTGGGACACTTACATTATACTGTATATCAACTCAAAATAGATTTGCAGCAGCTATAAACAGTAATCTCTGTTAACGTCAGCCTTCATCAGATCCAGCACTCTTTTACTGGACTAAAGAGTTTCCTGTTCTTTCAGCAATGCTGCTGAAGTGAAATAAATCCAGCCAAACCAGGATGTGTGTAGTTGGTGGTATAATCTGATACTCTGTTATGAAAAACCCTCTAGTTGAATTACTTTGGAGGACAGAGTGTCTCCTCAAGAAACTCTTCAATCTTGTTGACGTCTGTCTTGACCTCTCCTTCGAAGGTCAGGAAAGGAGGGTGCGTCCCTGGAGCCAGGTTGTGCAGATCTGCCGGCTTCCTGCAGAAGACACACGCGGAGAAAGCAGAATGTCGTGAGGGGCGACGTTAGCACGTTTTGTTTTCATGTTTGCAAACTTGGCTTTTTGTAACCTCACCTCTTGAGGTCGACGGTCGTGACGTTGAACATGACTCCTTTGAGCCAGAGGATCATGAAGAGGCGCTGAGAGAAGGGACAGTTGCCGATGCTTTCTCCATCGCTGCCCGCCTGGAAGCAGACAAAGGATGAAAAGACTTACATCTTGTTTCTCCAATTCAGCTGTGGGAAGCAAGTACATGACCCTTTGGTAACAATGTAACAACCTTGCTACTAACAGGGATAAGTCTCCTGTTATCTTAAGCGATAAGTGTTAACTCACTCTTTACCTGATATAGTTGTTCCAATAAGTAACATATAACATTACATAAGCACACATAAATAGGTCATTGTGACAGATTCGTGATAAGGACAGAGTCAAACTAAACCTACCGTCTGTGCACGTGTTATTATCTGATGTGAACTGCATACTTGTAGCAATCAGAATTATTGTCTGAAGGCCAAAAAAATGCCCAACATATTTACTTTCCCAAGTGGACGAGCACGGTGAAGGAAACATCCTGTTTCTTTTTTATTATATTAATACATAACAGCTATCAGATATAACCACTTTGAACACTTAGAAGAAAAATAACCAGTGATAATTTCAATAATTATGTAAGACATGACTGGCTAATTATTACCAGTGCACTTAAGTTTAAGTAACAATACTTAAACTTTTACAGTAGGTTCGATAACGTCAGTATTTACACAGTCAGTGCAGTATACACTTACTGGATCTCCTTTCCTCTCTTCCTGTATATGCATTTATTACAGGCCATTAACACCGTGTCTTCTCTGTGCTGTCGTCTATGTTTTTGTCTCCCTGTACCTTTCTGCACACGTCTCTGTTTTCTGAAGCTGCACTTTTGCACTTAGTATTTCTCTCTGGATTGTCTGTTGTGTTGTTCCCAACCGTAACCCACCCACTCGTGCCGCGTGGCTCCAGGCACCTCCTTCAGTCTGGTTAAGTCAGAGGTTTCTTCCTCCCCACTGTCAGTGGGTGTTTGCTCACAGGGGATTGCTGTTTCACACCCTAATATTTTTAATGATAGGGTCTTGAGATGGCCACTATTCATGACAAATTAATTGAATGAACTGGATGAATTTAAAGTAGCAGCATTTTGCAGATGCTGACCATACGAGTGCCTGTGAGCAGTGTATCAACAGTGCCCAAGGTTGTTGATTTTTGACAGTACGCTTGTGCTTTGATCAAAAAGCTCTGAGAGAAGGTCCTTAAAAGTTAAAAACCTGGCCTGATTTACTCTTGGCCATTCTCACGTTCAAGGTCATGTTCTCAGCCACGTGTGCTATTTTTAGTTTGCTCCCTGGAAGTCCCCTTCTGACCACTTAAACTGTGTGCTCTGCAGTTTCACCACAGACCTCAAATCAACTTCTGTCTCAAACTGGCGCAAAACATGTTTGGAGGATGAACTGCGGTGCTTGTCAGCAAGTTGTCTCATGCCTGCTCAGAGTGCACAGACAGCACAGGAAATTTTCTGTCTGCTCCAACACAATTTTCTTCACTACCTGGACGACACACTAGACTGAGATACCTACCGCTTTGCTCACTTCCTGTAAATAAAGATCAAGCTGAATAATCACTGTTTCGACACACTAGAGGAGATTCAATGTGCACTGCTGAGGCACAAGTGCAAGTGGAGCCTGACGAAAACTTCTGCATAGTAATCTAGAAATAGCAGCCATGCAGATTGCAGCAGCACAGATGTGTATGAGAAGATGATACTGAATGAACGAGTTAAAATGGGCATAATGTGCCAGGGTTCCATCATCTACCCGTACAGAGAAATGCAGGAGGTTTATGTGGTCCTAACGCACCACCACAACGTGCATAGTAGAGACACGAATGCAAGAGGACTTCCACCGAAAGATCTAAAAAGTAGCAGGGCACATTGTCCTGATATGGGAGAGAATGTGCTGTCGAACATGAGCTAGGCCACATTTAAATCAGGTAACGGGTTTGATTTGATTCACCTGTTCACTGCTTTTCTCTTTAAACGTTGTATTTTTATTTATTTATTTTCTGATGAAGACAAAGCTACACAGAATCACTTCCTTCCTATCATATGCTTGTGTACATGCACTGATATTATGTGTCGGCATGCACGGATACTCAGAGGAGCACAAACGGTGACATCTGATCCAGTGAACCTTCTGAATTATACATGGTGATTCTGATAAGCAGGTTCATTGGCCCCTGGGGCACAGAGAGCAGCGTTCGACCTGCAGACGCACACAAGCCCACAACACATAACAAATATGTGAGTGCAATGACGTCCCGGTCATTACATGACAAGTGTGACCATTGACCACATTAAAGTTATTAGAACGGCAGATGAACTTCATTTCATGCTATTTCACTATTTATGTCACTAAAACCTTTGAATGGCCAGTATAACAAATAATTGGACACACAAACAATCCCTTCAAAAAAAGAAGTTACTGCAACGACGTTAAAAAATATTTTGACATTCACCACAGACGTCCATCATCAGTAAACAGCTCCTAGCAAAGACCAGAAATAAAAGGGCCGTCAGGCTCAAAGTAGCTGAGCCAACTGTATGGACGCCAGCCATTGATGCTCTCAGTGCTGTCTGTGTATTGTTATGGCCAGGCTCAGTCGCATGGTGGTAACACAATACACTGGCCTCAAATAATCGCCAATCAACATCTAGAACACAGAGCACAAAAGCTGCCACACACAGCTAGACCACTAGGCCCGAGGAACGTGAGAGCATGGAGCTGCTGAGTGATCAGATGATGACTGTTGGGGGCTCTCACGTCATACGATCCATCACATGCTGTGTTATGCTATAACTATAACTGGGTTTTGGCGTCCTTAGTTTGCCTAAGCCTGCTTTTTAACAAAGAATTCATAAATGGGGTTCTGACATATTAACTGAAAACATTGATACTACAGTCATTCACAGAATAATACTGTAATTTCTAAAAGGCATACGAAGATTAAAACTGCTAAGATTGATCCCTCTGGTGCACGTAAGACTCCTATAACCCCCGATAGTCACCGTTTATAGGCTAATTCCTGTATGTGGGGTGGAGCATGATAGTTCTCCAGCCATCAGATCCATGTAGATCGTAGCACGATGAATAAATTATTATATTAGGATTGTAGTCACTCTCTCTATATATTAATACAGTTTGTGTTTAATTAGGATTTATTGAAAGAAAATGACAGTTTAGAAACTAAATCAAAGATAAAGGCCTAAAAGTTAATTAGTTGACCTCCGAAGTGCCTGCAGAAAGTCAGACTTCTCACCAGCTAATTAGAACTGTGCATCCAGGCAGCACGTTAGCTTTTCCACCTGCCTCAGGTGTATCCATCTGCCTGTGTGATTCCTCAGCGGACCTGAAGTAAAGCTTTTTATAGAGAACAAAACACCACTGCTGTGTCCACTGATGGTACCACCTTCAAACTGTTGTCATTTTTTTTCCACTTTATTATTACCTGTTTCAAAGTTTCCACCCTACATGCTATCTTATATAAAACATCTTTTTGAAAGGTCCTTGAACAAGCAAGCCTCACCACTTGAAATTCTTCCAGAGATGTATTTGGGTAGTTGTCTGCGTTAACGTTCATTTTCATTTGTTACTGGAACATAGAAACTTCAGGTATAGCATTATAAGGTACTTTAAAAGTTTGCCCCCAAAAAACAAAGATCATAAAAGTTGTTCATCCCCTGGAAGTCATGTTTCTACCAACATCTTTGCTGCTGCTGAATACTGCAGATTTCAACTCAGGAATGCAATGTCTGTTTTACATCTGAGACATTAGACAGATTCTCGAGACTGATTGCATAGCACAGTCCTCCCTGAAAAAGTGTGGACTGAAGTAACAGTACCACTGCATGGCCTGATGTGAGCTTCTCACCATCAACAAGCAGCTTCGGTATCACTGTCACAACCATCCTGGGTCGGGGTGCTTGCTGGTGCTGCTGTAACTCTACCTCCGCTATTGGGTTACGCAACTGCTCCATAACACGCAGCGATGCTCATTTGAGAAATTCAGGCAATACTTGGTCCCTCAAATGTTATCAAAACCTTCACTGCAGCCATAGTTTTGTGTCTATCTTACCTTTACAAAAAGTTCAATATCAGGGTCTCTGTCTTCATCAGACATGATTCCTTTTTCTTTTACTTTTTTTAAACTATGTGTCCTTTTTTATCCTTGGAGCTCTACATCTTCTGGAAAGACAAAAAAAGGAGGAGAAACTTTTATCTTCTCTGAGGTTATCCTCTCTCACACCTAAGGAAGTTCTGTTCCCTTCACCTTCACCACCGTTTGCAGCTGTAAAGGCAGTTTTCTGCTCCGTTTGTGTCTCATGGGTGAGGCTGAAAGTCGGTCCAGGTGATAGTCACAGCCCTGTGCTCTGATTTAGACACAGATGGAGGGCAGCATTAGATGTCACTGACACAAAGTGGAAAACAGGTGTCAGTCTATAGCAGAGGGGGTGGAGCCCCGTGTCTCTCTTCCCACCACTGCAACCAAACCTGACATCAAAATCGCATCACAGGCAGCACTTACTCCCTTATCTCTCTGCCCCACAGCTGACACATTCTTATTTTTCAATATTTTCCACTATTAAATGTTTTATTGTATTATTTTTTGCCAAACTGATGAAACACTTCCTGAACACCCAAACCATCAATAATATATTCTCCCCATCTGACAACATTGCCAAAAATGGGACACTATTTGCGTCACTTTGAGTTTCTGAGGCTGTCAGTCCATCACTTACCGAGTAGTTGTGCAGCAGCATTTATATTTAATTCATGTTCACATGTGTTTGACTCTGGCAGGTTATATTTGATCACCACCAGCAGACTAGAGAAGATTCCTCTCTAAATTATTGATGCACGGCTGCGGTTTTAAGGCAAAAATTTGCATTTGTTTGCAGAAAGAGGCCACAAAAATAATTTTAAAAAAAGCAGGTACATTTGACACATGGAAACTGAGTAGTGTGTGTGTTTGTGTGTGTGTGTGGCTTATGAGAGATAGATCCGAGAAAGAAAGTTTGATGAAAACAGCAAAGAGGAGACAGATGGCTCAGCTGGAGAGAAACGTTTTAACTGTTTCTATTTATAGAGCAGCTCCCTCTCCTGGCTGGTGTACCAACTTGCAGCACAAACCAATTAAAAGGGAGCTGCAGAGGAAGAAGGTGCTCATTATCAGAGTTCAGGATGGAAAATCTTGAACAGTGTCTGAATGTGTTATTTTAGGTCTTAGTTTATTTGCAAAGTTACTGAGTGAACAGCACCAAAATGAGGGAGGACTATCCATAATAACGAGCTGAGGATACCAAAAATATGTCACAACTGGATTTATATTCATTTTAAAAAAGAATAATAATAATAAAGTCTAGATGAGAAGATTTTTTCAAATTTCCACCACCAAGACTCTTATCACCTGTAGCTTGTAATTCTTTCAACAAATGGACTTAAACATGGACAAAGGAGGTTAGTGCTGAATCACACTAACGGTTTCCCCTTTTTTCCAGCCTTACATTTAGTGTGCAGTCACAGAAACTGTACAGTTTTTAATCTAACTCGAGTAAAAGTATCGACCAGAATGTCTTCTTTTCTTGTCATGGATTTCTAAATCAGTAATTTAAATCAATAATAATGGGACCATTAGTGGTTTCTAAGATATGGCCTTGGCGTTTCGATCCCTTTGAAACAAAGGGAAGTTCAAATCAGTGACTCGCTGGGCTAATCATTCACCATAAACATCAAACGGCTACAGAGAATTGTCTCTTTCCGGAACTGAGGTGACAGGGAGTGTGTGAACAGCGTATACGCACGAGCCAGAACTGCTGAAGAGTCTTGGACAGTTGCAGTTATGTGAAAAGGTCTTATCGCACAAAAACAGTGACAGAGCCAGTAAAAGTGCATGTTAGCGATACTGTTGATAGCCTAGGGCAGCCCACTTTATCTGACTGTGGAGGTTTCATTTTAAATTTTCCCCTCAGAGACGTGACCTCATAACTCACCTTCCTACTTTTATGATGGAGCTCGTGTTAAGTTTATGGCCATTGTTGATGATTAAACTGTTGGGAAACGCACCCACGGAAAGACACATAAAGGATAGAGGGTGGGGTGTTTTTCTTGAAGGGGCTGAGGATGTTATCACGTCTGTCGTCTCCTACGGTCTTCGGGGGTGAACTATCCTGCATATTTATCATAATTGTGATATAATGTAGTTTTGTACACTGAGTGTGTTAAGTGTGTAGACTGCGATGAGCTTTCAGATCCTGCCAATGTCGTTCCAGCTCACCGAGGAAGAAGGAGCAGCTCAGACAAAAACTGTGCACTCTGAACTAGATGCAATTTTTTTTGTAGGGTTCTTGAAATGTGTTTTTTTTTTTAAAGACAAAACATTATTATTCTTGAAAAGCTGTCTGGTGTTTTCTATTCTCCTTGTCATAATCACCTTTTTGGTTTTATGGTGGAGTAAACAGGGAAACAGGAAACGTGTGGGCGAGGAAGATTATGACATGTAACACAGCTGGAATCAAACTCATTCACCGTCTCACCCAACAATGCTTCACGCTACAGGGAGACAAGGCAATTTTAAAATAAAATAAAAAAACAAAACAGCCTGTTGCCATTACCCATTTCATGACTTTCACTGACTTGATGCCAGCAGCCTAATCAGCAAAGTGACCCCTGCATTAACTGATAGTACACTCACCAGAGCAGGTATCACCAAAAAGCAACAAAACACACAGACGGATTTGCTCAAGCGTAGAGTTCACCCCTGGTTCCTGTGACCTTAACGCGAACAAGTTAATTATTACAGCAGAGTGATTAAAGTCACACACAAAGATTTGGATACAAAGAAATCACTGCTTATGCACTATTCTTTTAAACATGCATTGTTCTAAATATACACAGCTTAGTAACACTTATATTTAAATATAACTATTTAGACTTAACTAGTAACCACATGGACGTCTAATGAGGTGAATTATCATTTCTATAATTTAATATAATATAATATAATATGCACAGGAGCAAATGATGAGAGTCTCTTCAAAAGGATGCTCTACTTGGCCTCAGAGCCTTCTTTTGTGCAAGGAAGTGAAATTCCACGCGCCTGAAGGCTCATGCTGAACCCTGAGGCTGTATATTGTTGATGCCTGGATCAACCCTGCAGAGCTCTTTTTATATAGTATAACATATGTCTCACCTTAATGTACAGGGCGATGTTAGGCTGGTTGGGATCAGCTGGCGCAGAGCTGCTTTCATCCAAAGAGACACTTTCCAGAGTTTTAAGCGTGTAGTCGACAGACTCCTGCGGCTCGGGGTCAGTTTTAGGGCAGCTGTAGGCCATCATCATCCCATCCTCGGCGTTATCCTCTTCCTGGATCTTCCTCTGAAACGGCGGGTCGTCGCAAGGATCTCCGGGTGAGGCGGATGAATCTGAGGAGGAGGATGAGCGCCTGGATCCGTTGTGCGCCTCACCGCTCACCTCCTGCACCTGTGCCTCCACTTCCACCGCAGGCTGGGGCTCCACTTTTTCCTTTCTCGCTTTAGCGTCCTCGTCGTCGCTGGATGAAGAAGAGGAGTCGCTGTGTTTGCCCCCTTCCCTGATCTCCATGTAATCCGGGGAGCTGCGGTCTTCCTCCTGAGACGGCCTGTGGACCAGCACCTCGCTGTACAGCTGCTCCCTCGCCTCACCCGAGTTCTCATATTTGGGCTCGACGCGATCGCGTCCTGCGGGCACATCTTCGTGATCTAGTGTTTCGTAGATGTTGTCCATGTCTGGCAGCAGACCTTGAAGTTGAAAGTGGAAGAGTAGTGCTGGAGTGGTCAGTGTTTTCACACCGTGTGCCTGCCTCTGACTCACTGACTGAGCGCACTGAGCAAATTCCAGTGATAACTTATAAAAGACCTTTGATCCTGCAAGTTAACGAGTGGATAGCGTAAAAGCTGAGCACTGTGCCCCTTCACGGATATTCCGGTTTTAAATGTGATGGCTTGCAAGGACAGAGAGCAGCACATAAACACCGAAAACCTTTCAGAACTTTAAATCAGAACACGATGACTTAATCTTCTGGGACCTTTGCAAGGTTGATAAGCTGTAGAGCCCTTGTGCATTTTCTAGACTTGCTTACGTAAAATCTGTGTAAATGCACCTTGCCAGGTTTCCTCCACCCTGCGGCTGACAGTAAGATAGAAAAGAGGGGGATAGTGGGTACTGTAATGATTATAAGATGACAGAGGTGCAAGCTTTGTTTGTGGCCAGTAACTTAGAAACACACATCCACTGGATGGGTGCAGAAAAGAGGGCTTAAAATTTCAGACAGTCAAATGTATTTTAATGAGTTTTCCAGTTTTTCTGTATTTATTTCTTGCAGTTTCAGCTCAAACGGTGATGCTGACACGTGTCTTTCATTTACTGCACCAGCATTTCTTTGTCATGTGGAATGACTGAGACATACTGTCGTCTTTTTATTACATTCAGGGATTAAATGTGTAATTAAACCTCTTTATACTGACAGAAAGGGGAGTTCCACCGGTTACCCACTTAGGATTAAAGTGTGCTGTATGTGCCCCTTGATATAAAATGAGTTTGACATCTATTAGATGTTATCTTCACCCATTGGAAAATACAGGAAGGAAGTTTTGTTAAGGCAAAGAGTCTGTGTTACTTACTGAGGTGAATCTGTGTTATTGATGAACAATAAAACCCAACTTTAAAAGGTTAAAAGATGGTATCACGATACTGCTGAGCTTCCTTTGGTGGATGTTCTTTGCAGGGTGAGAATATTTTTTTAATTCCAAATTATTAAAATTACAAAACCGTCCTCATCACTATTTTTTTCAAAGAAATGGAAAAGGTAGGCATGATTGCATGCACAGTTATACTCCAGTCTGAAAAAGGGGAATCTTATGGTTCAACTAAGTGACTGATTTTTTTTTTTTTTCCATTTATTTTCCAATCCATTCGCTTCCGCTTATCCTTTTCAGGGTTGCAGGGGGCGCTGGAGCCGATCCCAGCTGTCATAGGGTGAGAGGCGGGGTACACCCTGGACAGGTCGCCAGTCTGTCGCAGGGACAGACAACCATTCACGCTCACATTCACACCTATGGGCAATTTGGATTAATCAATTAACCTGTCCCCACAAGCTGCATGTCTTTGGACGGTGGGAGGAAGCCAGAATACCCGGAAGGAACCCACGCAAACACGGGGAGAACATGCAAACTCCACACAGAAAGACCCCGGCCTGATGGTGGAATTGAACTCTTGCTGTGCGGCAACAGTGCTAACCACCGTGCTGCTCTTATTTATTTTTTTGTTCCTTAAATGCATCACACTTTACAATATTTAGCTGCATTTCTGAAGAATGACAGATTACTACAAAATTTTAATTTTTGTGGACTAAGAGAAAAAATGTAAAGATCTGGGCCTCGAACACAAGGGTTAAAAATAATAATAATAATAATCAACAAACACAGTTATTTTCACATTAGTCCCTTTATTTCCAGAAGACTCATTATTTGCTTCAATATGGCAAAGATAGTTAATTTGTAAATGATATTAAATATCCACGATTTTAATCCAAGGTAGTAACAAACTGAGATCAGCTTCATCTAATATTCTTTCTTTTCTTAAAAACTTCAAATAAATCGTTTTTGGAATATAGCATGGATACATTTCACTTCTCTGTCAACAAGTTAGGGGAAAATTATCAGACAACACTTTTCCGTCATAAAACAACACAATTCTCAGAAAATTAACAATTTCATATAAATGCTCTCAATTTATGAATTTAAATTTTGTAAAAAGTATATATCACAGTGATGTCTGTCATTTTCGGGCACGGGTAAAGTCAGTGCGTCGAAAAGCAAAAAGGAGAAAATTGAAATTGAACCAATTCTTTCTTAAAAGACGCTGGAAAAAAATGATAGTATTTAATCTGCAGATTATAATTCTAGTCTTCTACCTCTCTCTCCGATTATGCTACTTAAAAAGCTTTTAAGCAAGAGGCACCTATCTTTTTTCGTCATTTCAAACAGCAACTACAAACTAGAAGTGCAAATTATACATGACCTAGAAGCTTCCAGCTACTGCCCCTTCATTCAGTTTCATTTCAATCCTGTAGTGCAAATTATGGGAACAGCTCTCGCAAGTCATGCTCGAAATAGTCTTCTCAACCAAACAGAACCCTTAAAACTCCTAACACAAATACTGACCAATAGCAATTGCACTTCACATTTCACCAACAAATGACCATGGTAATGACAGCAGACATATGAATGGAAGGGCACTACACAATCATCTTACACTGGAAGAAAAAAAAAGCCCTCCTGACACACACAAAAAAAGGACAGACGCACAAACAACTGCACACGTTCGAGAGATGTTCTCGGTTAAGTTCAAAGGCAAATGGTAACTGACTACTGAAGTGATTAGCTCATGGAATGACCTACACGTATGAGCAGTAGCTTGGCACGAAGAGTGAGACTTTAGTGGTTCCAGTTAACATTCAGAAGTAACACTGACCACAGTCAAGTGCTTAAAACGAACAGTTTGGAATACTTTAGATTAATCACAGCATTTGTAGTTCAAAGTAACATCTTATTCAGTGCTCAGACCACAAGAAGAACAGGTGGTGACGGAAAAAAAAAATCTCACCAGATCCCTTTTTCACTTTATGACATACAAATCTGTTTTGCATAGATTTGAAAATGTCAAAGCAAACGGACTGAAGACGACTCTCACTGTCAGGATGAGAAAGGTGTCAGTAGGCTTTCCAAAAAGTTACTCGTTTGACCTTCTGTGCTCATGGCACAGCTTCCCAACAAGCTAATGAGTGTTACATTATAAATTCCAACAAGGTAAGATTGTCTGAAGGTACGCACCATTACAAGATTTTTACACCCCACCTTGGAAAAGAACAGCTTTAGTGGGATTTGAGCATACTGATACCTCGATATCATCCGTGTCACAGGCTTGGCCACCAAAAGCTCACCCTTTTACAATCACAGGCTCAAACTTCACGTATACTTTTGTATCTTTACTCATAAAGTGACAATGAAAATGTTAGACGCTATTAGGTAGAATTCACAATCAAAGCAAAGCCACTAAGAAACCAATTATTCTGAATAAACCCAAACCAGAAGCACGCCCGGGACGTTTCCCTTACACCAGACGTACCCCTACGCACGAGTGGGAGGGTACATTTCCTTGATCTTCAGTGAATAACAAGAGCAGCACAACGGCATTTAGTGATGTAAGGGAGGCATTCAGGGGATGCTTCTGGATGTGGGAGTACCTTGGGAGGAGGAATACCTCCTCTTCTTTTACGTCTGCCTCTCTTTCCACTCTCAAGCTACAGGTGCAAATCCTCTTGCAGTAAAGGCTGCGACATCTCCCAGCTCCTGTGTTTTCTTGAGGGCCGCTGTTTGAGTGTCACTAGTATGACGTAGACCACTAGGAAGCCCAGCACCAAAACCACACCGAGGAACGAGCCCACGATGGGGGCGCAGGAGTACCCGGTGCCCGGAGGGGGAACGGGAGGGTGAGGCAGGACCGGCGTGGTCACAGTGGGCTCTATGGACAGGAGGTCCTGAACATTCGAGAGGGAGCCGTTGTTCGGCATAGGGCGGATGGACAGGATGTGGCACATGAGAGGGTAAAGGTCAACGGAGCGCATGGAGGATTTGACGTAATTCTCACGAAAGGCCGGCCCACGAGCCACGAACACAGGCTGCATGCTACGTAAGCTGTTGTTATAGCCATGGTTTCCCACTGGAGATGAAAAAAAAGACAAAAACATTTGCATAAGAAGGTGGAAATCTTTGATGTAAATTATTATTCTGTTGCTAATAGACCTTTTATACATCTATATCTGGTTTTCACATCCCATAAATCACAGACCGCTCGTTTTGTTTCCAGATTTATGGGACCTGGCGCCGCAGCTCTACCTGATGATTTACTGCCAAAACGACTTGCCTCAGCAGACGGGATAAGGCTAAATCAATCACAGCGCAGCCCAAACAAAAACTGAAAATGAAATCACAAAACACAAAGACCTTACATGAAAGCTTAGACAGGCTAACAGCCGCTCCTCAAATTTATCAGTGCTATTACATCCAGAAGATCTGACGTGATTCTCTCAGCGCGCTGTGAGTAAAAATCAATACACTCTATCAGCGCTGCTGCGACGGCAGCTTCAGAGGGTTTAACGGCCATTCGAGCAGGTCCAGGGTCTGCCATAAATCTTACCTTAAAGATACCCCGCGGAGATTTCCGATCCCCAACGTTGCCTGGTCGACATTTCTTTCCTCTATATTTTTGTTTTGTAAACATGCACAACTACACACACGTGCGCGCGCATGCAAGAACATTAGCAATTCTACCAGTGCTGTAATCCCATTCCACTGATCGATGTCGCAAGGAATGAGCACAGAAGTGCAGCAATCAGCCGGCGGAATGCTGCTAGCAACTAAATATGGATGTATAAAATGTCTCCCGCTGCAGTATCTAATAAAGGCAAATGCCAAATAAATAGAGACAGACATATAATGGAATACCAAGAAACGCAGAGCACATTTTCTTTCAATTGATGTAAACAAAGAAGAATGACTGGGTTTGTGGAGCTGCAGTGTTATTTGTATTGCATTACTCCGCAGCGCTCTGTGATGCACTGAGAAACAGAAGGGGCCACTGCTGCACGGGAAGAGACATGTTTTAGTCATGAATGCATATCGCTCCCTCTCAAAAACTTTGTTATAGCAGGAAAGCATCATAATACACACATGTGTATCTAAGCAGTCTCACATCGCTTTGTCCCTGAAGACTGAAAGTCTGCTAGTTTTCTTTCCAGCCGCAGGCTCCACCTGGTCATTTCACT